TCTCTGTCCCCTCCACCCTCATCGGACCACGTGTGAGGCTCCAGCTCTGCACCCAGCCTGGCCTGGGAGCGCTGAGGGTTGACCAATAAAAGGATTAAACGTTTCAAGGGGGAAAACTGCTTGTGTCCCGAAKAAGTCATTTACAGGGGTCAGAGCTGTGGCCCAGCAGAGCCAGTGTAATTCCAGGAGCTTTTCCTGTAATTCCAGGAGCTCTGACCCCTTGCCCGGGGTCTGCCCTTCCCTCCCACCGTGACTCTGGAAGGTCCTTGCAGGTCCCTCTGCTGCTGTGCCATCCTGGCTGCAAATCGTGTCCTTTCCATGACTTACCTTCATTGAAATCCTCCGATGCTGAATAAAAATAAAAGGCCAGTGCTGCTCCCAACAAAGGGATGAAAACCTTCAGGAGCAAACCCATCCCTGTGCAGGAGTGCAGGCAGGATTCAATGAGCCCCACAGGGAGGTGAAGGCGGCCCGAGTTTGCAAATGGGGCTGGGAAGTTTGGAGCTGGTTCTTATCTCACACAGGTTTATCTGTGGGACCTTTTCTTTGCACTGCCGGTGATTTAGCAAACATTAACCTCGTGAAGAGYGTGGCTTTGGACTTTAGGCTGTCCCTTTGCACCCTTGGAGTCCCAGGTGTGCTTTTGGAGAGTGCTGGAGGGGAGGCACTGCACAGATTCCACTCCACAGAGTGATGAGTGTGTGGTTCAGGGGTGGGGACAGCAGTGTCCCCTCGGAGCAGACAGCCATGGGATGGAYGGATGGATGCACATCCTTCTCTCCYCATWGTAAAGCAGGAGCAAGKCTTCCCTTCCTCGCTGGCTGCCCCGAGGATTTATTGATCAGCAGTATTGCTGTTTTACAGGTTCCTATCAATGTCCCAAAGGTTCATTTTCCAGCCATTTTTTGATGTTTCTGGTTTATTCTTTGTGATACCACCATTATTGTAATAATGACAGTTTATTGGGTGGCTCTTACCCCTAAAAAATATCACTGTTGAGGAATCCATGGGTTGTGAAARGCACTAAAAGAGCCAAGTGGATGAATGAGAAAATCTTCAGCTTTCCCAGCGCTGTGTATCACACTGCTCAGTGCCTGCTGGGCAAATGAGAGTAATTTTCTGAAAGTTTAAAGGGCAGAACCCTCTCTGTGTGTGCTGGTTTGTGTAGGTGATCTTGGGGAGAGGAGAAGAGAATTTAGGAAGAAATTAGGAAGAAATTAGGAAGAAATTAGGAAGAAATTAGGAAGAAATT